GACACGACCGCGTAGGACACCGAGCCGAAAGCTTGCAGCCGCCTCGGCTGCCTGTATAGCTCAATCAACATCCAGACCAACCGCAGCGGCATGCCCAGCAGCCGCGCCTCGATGAGTAGCCACTCGGGCTTAATCGTCTCAAAGAACTTCCAGGCGTCCAGCATGACGATTACGACGTGCTCGTCCAGGCAGTCCGATACCTCCGTCTCAAGGTTGAGGTCGAAGGCGGAGTCGGAGGAAGATCTGCCGCCGCCCATGCCCCAAATACTGGCATTGGGGTGCGCCGTCAGCCACGCCTTGGACGTCGAGGCACGAGCCCTCGACCACCATCGGATTAGCGAGTGCATCAGCGTGATCAGCCTGCAGCCGCCAGAGGCCTTGGGGATGCGGCACATAGCGTGCCACAGCCTTTCGCTGGGCCAAGCCCCCAGCGCCTCGCACTTCATGAAGAGCTGGCCGCAGGTGTAAACACCGTCGTCCGTGAGAAAGGTGAGCGCGCGCATACCGATCTGCGCTGGGCCGAGCGCCGTGGTGGTGGGGAAGCTGCAGGCGGCCCGCTGCAGCGCCTCCACGGTGAGGTCTTCGAGGTCGTCCCATTCGTCGAAGTCAGCTGGCCTTTCCAGCGCCTCGAGCTTGTGGCACGACCAGACGTCCTCCCAGGCCTTCATCTCCCGGTCGCAGATCAGGTGCTGGCTGGCGACCTGCTGCTGCGGGACGAAGGTCTGGGCGAGCCGTCCAGTGGTGAGCTCGGTGTGGGTGCCCTGCCATTGCGCCAGCACCTCCTGCATCGCCCGCAGCTTGGTGAAGCGGTGCGCCTTGCCAGCGCCGTTCCGCAGGCTGTCGTTGGCCCACTGGATCCAGCTCTGCTGCCTGACCTTGAGCGCGTCCGCGTGGGCGTCCTTGGCGAACTGGACGACGCGGCCCGCCTGCTCCAGGAAGTCGGTGTTGCCGATCACGCGAAAGCCCTGCTCGAAGAAGGACCTCACCCAATGCGGGAGCAGTGCCAGCGTCTTCTTGCTGTCCATAACCACGCGCCCATACTCCAAAGCCCTCGCGACGAAGTCCGCCAGCTCGTGGTACTGCTCAGGGACAAGGGAGCACTGCAGGCTGGCGGTTTGCAGCCTCCTGCTGGCCTTCGCGAGGAACGCGCTGACCCCCATGAAGTGACGCGCCCATCGGCCCGCGACCTTGGCCGCGATGACATCAGGCCCCAATCGGACACGCTGCCCTTGCGGCTTCCACTTGACTGGCGCCAGCTTGGTCGCAATGGGCCCCGCACGTCCTTCGAACCGCCTGCGCGCTTCGCCAACCTGGTCGTAGCGGTCCAACAGCTCCTGCTCCAAGGTGCTGACGACGGCGTCCCAGGCTGCTGGCAGCTCCTCGGCGCTGGTTGTGGCGCGCACCTGGGCCAAAGTGGGCGCCCAGTCCTCGACACCGCGGCTGCAGCCGATGGGCGGCACCGCTGGAATCGCCCTGGGGGCGATCGGGATCCTCACGCGCATGTCCAGGTCGGCGGCACGCAGCTCCACGTTGACAGGGAGGTGCGGGGAGGTGATGCCCAACTCATCCACTCTCGGAGCCGAGATGCGGCTGGCCAGGTTTGCACCGACCAGAAAGTAGTCCAGCACCGAGCCGCTGCCCGCCTGTGGGCGGCAGGTGTCGGCCGACGGCGCTAGCCAGAGGCCCCCCGCCTTTTCCAACTGCGCCAGGGGCAGGCAGCTGGGAGGCCCATTGAAGTCGCCGCCGACGATCCAATCGATGCCCGAGGCCGTGAGCTTCGTGAGGTAGCGAGTGAGCGCGCCGAAGATGCTTCGGTTCACGTCGTTCATGCCAACGCTGTCGACCAGGTAGGCCGACACGAAGACAATGCCGCCACGGACTCCCCAGTGCACGTGGGCGGCCACCAGTCGCCCTGGCCACAGTGTCGCCGAGGGCAGCAGCGGCGGGGCCGTGACGGGGATGTTCTTGCGGGCCAAGACCGCGACGCCGCCCGTAGTGCCCTCCGCGGAGGTGGGGCCTGCCACTGCTGGCGCCCAGATGCCCGCGAACCCGTGATCCAGCACCTCGTGCTGCAGGTCGGCGAGCTTCGCCTCGTCCCGTCGGTGATGCTCCTGGACGAGAACGACGTGCGACTCGAGGGTCTCTAGGCACGGCGCCAATGAACCCCAGGAAGTCACGTTGCTGGTAGTGATAGTGCCTTTCGCCATCGCAAGTGTGCAGGACATCGCGATGATGAGCTTAGTAAGGATTGAAGCCCCTGACGGCCAGCTCCGTGGCGCGCGCCAGCATGGCGTCGCTGGTCTCCTCTGCTGGCCCTGGCGAGAACTCCGCCATGGTCTGCCGCAGCTTCTCGGGCTCCATCGCGGCGGGATCCCAGCGCGGCGCTGCGGCTGCAGGGGCGGCGCCGCCTGCAGTGCCTGCGCCATGCGCGGCGGCGGCGGCGTCGTCTCCCTCGACGGACGCTGCAGGGGTGCGAGGGGCGCTCGCTGCCTCCGTGGCGGCGGCCCGCTCGCGCTGCCGCCGCAGCATGAGCTCCTGGAGGGGCCCGCCGAGCGCCGAGGCCAGCCGCTGCGGCAAATCGCCCGCGGTCTGCATGGTGTCGTCGGGGTGAGCGGCCAGAGCACCGCTGAGAGCCTGCGCCAGGTCGCCGAGGGTGAGGCCGCCCGTGTTCTTGATGACGTCGTGCTCCATGGACTGCCCAGGCGGACGATCCTCTGGCGCGACTGGGACCTGCTGCTGGAGTGCCGACTGCTCCGCCTGGAGGGCCACCTGCTGCGCCTTGAGCTCTCTGACACCATGCCGCTTGAGCTCCAGCTCGTCTTGCGCCTTCTTGACACGGTCCTCCGCCTCGCGCTCGGCCAGCTCCATCTTGCTGAGTTTGTCCGCCAGATTCTTCTGCCTGTGGGCCAGCGCCTGCACCCGCGCGTGGAGCGGCTTGGCGGCGAAGAGCCTGTCCTTGGCGGCGGCGAGCCTGCGCTTGAGATCCTCCCGCGGGCCCGTGGCCCAGTCGTGCTGCACGTCCTTGAGCGTGGCCAGGCCTGCCTCGCACACCTTGATCTCGCTCGCAGCCGAGGCGTCCTCGCCTGACTTGCCGTCGTCCACGTGCATGGCCGCGGCCCCGCCCTGGTCGGACTCCTGCGTACGAAGCTTCTTCCTGGCAGCGTCGAGCTCCGCCCGCATGGCCGCGAGCTCGCCCTCGAGCTTGCCCTCGGCCGTCCACGGGGCCCGCTTCTTGCCCTTGGCTGGGGCCCGCATCGAGGGCTCCTTCGGCGGCACAGGCCCGCCGTACACGTCCTTCTTGTGGAGCCTGCACCCTTGGCACTTGAGCGAGGTCCCGAAGTTGATGAGCGGCTTGCCGCGCTTCGTCGTACAGCTCCTGCAAGCCCAGTCCTGGCGTTCCTTTCGGCCGGCGCCAGCCATGGTGCTGCAGTCTGCACTTGGGATCGAGAAGGGGCTGTCGGGCTCAAGAGCCCTGGCACTGGCCGCGGACTAGCGGTATCCACTTGTTCCACTGTGGAACTAGGCATCTTGAGCCAAAATGGCTACGGAGAGATGGAGGAGGAGGAGGAGGAGGAGGAGGAGGAGGAGGAGGCCCCTGCCCTGAGGGCCTTCGAGACCCCGAAAGCCTTGGTCAAGCGGGTCTGCCAGGGCGCCGTGGCCCTGGGGCCCCTCCGGCCGTGGGGCCCTGGGGCCGAGAGGAGGAGGTGGAGGAGGAGGAGGAGGAGGAGGAGGAAAAGGAGGAGCAGGAGGAGGAGGAGGAGGAGGAGGAGGAGGAGGAGAGGAGAAGGGAGAGGAGGAGGAGGAGGAGGAGGAAGAGGAGGAGGAGGAGGACCAGCGTAAACCCAAGACCCATCAACTATGTAGGAATGCACCCTCCCTCCAGCCTCCCCTTCACAGGCCCCATACATTATTCCTATCCACTGAAGGAAATGCCCCGTTTGGAGACAACCGTTTGAAGATCTTGAAAAGCGCCAAAACATCATTTTCTGGACTCCAACGCCACGAATCAACTTGAGTGTGGCGTTCTGACGGTCCTGAATCGCGCCAGAACACCGTTCCTGGGACTTCACCACCGCGAATCCACGTAACTGTTGCGCCCTGACCCTCCTGATTCATTCCCAAACGCCAATTCTGCTTGGTTACCTATGGGAGTCCGTGAATCCGTGAGCCACATGTTGAAAGCTACTTGCATTCACTTCGCGAAACTCGCACCATTTGTTGAAACGGATGTGCGCGGCGCTAAGGCGGGAGCCACATTTTGAAAACCACCCGCCCTCAATCCGTGAAGCTCTTGCCAATGTTTAAAACGAATTCGCGCGGCGCTAGGGCGAGAACCCCAGTTAGAAACTCCCATGCCCTCAATCCGTGAAACTCTCGCGAATCAAACGAGTGTGCGCTGCGCTCAAGCGAAATCCACATTTTGACCCCCCCCACCCTCAATCCGCGAAACTCTTGCACGGTTTGAAGACGAATGTGCGCAACGCTAAGGCGAGAGCCACATTTTGAAAACCACCCGCCCTCCATCCGCGAAGCTCTTGCAATTTGTTCAAGCGAATGCGCAGGGCGCTAGGGCGAGAGCCACAATTTGAAAACCGACCGCCCTTCATCTGACACTGTTGCCACCCTCTAGCTTCCCGGTCAAAAAGGATAAGGGGCTCTCAGGCTCAACGCCCGGCCGCCCTTCCAACTGGCCCCGGGGTGCGGCAGGGAGGAGTTACTGTTAAGGAAAAGGAATGGAGGAGGAGGAGGAGGAGGAGGAGGAGGAGGAGGAGGAGGAGGAGCAGCAGCAGCAGCAGCAGCAGCAGCAGCAGCAGGGAGGAGCCGAAAACCCCCAAACAGACCACATGATCCACCAACTGCCGGACGACAGGGTGCATCTCGTGGGTCGGCGCTGAGCCCCCTCTGGGCACCCCACGGCGCGCCGCCGAGCCAGCAGCGGAGGGGGGGCGCGAGCAGCGAGCGCCAGGAGGGGCGGAGGCGAGCCCGCCCGCGCAGGGAGCCTTCCGCAGGGGTTCCCTCGAGCAGTCCTCGCGTCGGCGGGCGGCCGCCGCCAACTCCGCCGCCGCCGTCGTCGGTGCCGCCATCGTCATCCCCGAGCAGCGGCAGAGGCACCTTTACGGCACAACCTACGCGGTCGGGAACGGTCGCTTGCCGTGTCGCCCAGGCGACCCTGGCGACACGCTACGCCCTGGAAGCGGATAGCGCGTCGCTCCGCTCCGCGGGGCGCGAGGCTGGGACAGGCTCGGGACGTTGACGACGGGGGACCAGGAAGTGAATAGCGTGTCACGCCGAGGCGTGGTGGACCAGATCCGGCGGAGCGACACGGTGTCCAAACACAGCGCCCAGCAACGAAGCGGTTTGCATTCCTTGTGGGGTGGGGGGTCGTCCTTGGGATGTGAAAGGGTGGGAGGGTCGGTACCGTGCCCGAGAATTGCGTGTGCTCCGCCACAGAAGAGAACCTCATGTACTCAGCCACAAAAAAACATCTGCACTCCAGCACAACATGAATCCTTCTGAAATCCGTCACAAAGTGAACCCTTTTGTATACAATAATCCGTTTGAAAGTCGCCACAAAGACAATCCTCTTATATTCACAACAGAAAAGACCCTTCCGTATTCCGCCAAAGAAGAATTGTTGCCCGCCAGTAACGGAACTTGGTGTTCCTTGTTTAACCAGCTACAACAAATAATCCTGTTGTAACCCGCCGCACTAAAAAAAAACATACCACTGCAAAAAGGCTCCTGTTGTATTCCGCAACAAGAAGAATAGATTTGCATCCAGGCACAAAAATAATTCGTCTGTACTCTTCAACAAAGATAATCATACTGAATATGCTTAGATTGGTGAAGGACACGTTTTCCCTGCGTTTTAGTTCTTATCTAATAAACATGTTAAGTTCGCTTGTGCCCGCTAAGACCGTTCGCTTCTTCAAAAATAAAATGTTGTTGTTTTACCTGCGCCCGCTCAGCCATCTGAACTGTTGCATGGTTGCGCAACTATGGGACATCATATCCTATAGTTGCGAACGCACCTAAACAGCAAAGACAGTTGAGCCGGCGCAGCTTTGAAAAGCACTTTTCAGAGAAAAACTGGAAAGCTGACTGGGCACAGGTAACACCAATCTCTGTTATCAAAGGAAGCTGATAATGCACAAGTCTGCCACCAATTCAAGCAAATTCTATCACATTTCTTACGCAGTGGGATACAATAGGATTCCCGCTGTGGCGGATACAAAGGGAATATTTTTGTGGCGGGATGCGAACAGATTCCTTTTTGGCGAGATACACAAGGATTCTTTGTGTAGCGGGATACAACAGGATTCCATATCAGGCGGGATACACAAAGATTCTTTTTGCCGCGGGATAAAAAAAAGGATTCCTGTTGTGGCGGGCTACAAAAAAGTTCCCTGTGTAGCCAATTACAGCTGTATTCCGTTTGTGGGAATCACACAAAGACCCCTTGTGTTGCGGAAGACAAAACTACACTTTCTTTTCATGACGGGATACACAAGGATTCGCTCTGCGGCGGAATGCGAAAGGATTCCTTGTGGCGATTGACAAAAGGGTTCCTTGTGTGGCGGATTCCAGAAGGATTCCTTCTGCAACGAATTACAAGTGTTTACTTTGTGGCTGGTTACAAAACACTTCTACTGTGGCAAAATACACAAGAATTCTTTGCGCGACGGATTGCCAAAGTGACCCTTCCGTGGCAGGCTTCAAAAGGTGTATCGTGTGGTGGGTGACAAGAAGTTTCTTTGCGGTTGCAAACAACAAAGATTGGCTGTCGAGGCGGGGTGCACACTGTTTCCCGCTTCTGGATACCGTTTTCAAGTCCCGAATGCCGTCGATATGCACTCCTGTATGAAATGCTGCGATCGAAGGACGTCGATGTCGGGGGGGGCGACTTTGACCTGATTTCGATCTCCTCCACTTCATTATTCGCCTCCGCTTTCTCCCGTTTCTCCTCTGAGAAAGGATGGAGGGAAGCAGGAGACAGGAAGAGGAGGTGGAAGGGCGAAATTCAAGATGACGAAATCAAGATGACCATATACAATAACACTAAAAGATAATAACCCGAAAGTGAATGAGAAGAGGGAGGGGAGCAAGGCTGAACACGTGACAGAGAACGAACTGGGAGGGAAAGGGGAAGACAGAGATAACTCGCGGAAGGAAAGCAGAACGGGGGTGAGCGCGAGGATGCCGACGAAGACGAGCGCAGGGACCCTAAGGAGGAAGCGAGCACGAGGATGGGAGCCGAGGGTCGAAGATGCGGGCGAGGACAAGGACCGGGACGAGAACGAGGCTGAAGACGACGATAAGGGGGCCACATGCGAACCCTACCCCTACCCCACACGATTTCTGAGGATGAGGGTGGGGTTCACTTCGTTCGGGAGCTCACGAGCGAAGTGAACCCCACCCTCCCCCTCAGAAATCGGGGGGGGTAGGGGTAGGGTTCGCATGTGGCCCCCTAACGACGACGACGACGACGACGACGACCACCACCACGACGGGAAGGGAGAGCGCGGGGCGGCCCCAGCGGGCGCGGGACGCTCCTGCTCCCGGCAGACGGTCCCGAAGCCCTTCTGGGGCGAGTTGCCGCCGTCGTAGGGGGCGCCTCGCCACGGGCGGCGCGGGCTGCTGCAGCTGCCACTGCTGCTGCTGCTGCTGCTGCTGCTGCTGCTGCTGCTGCTGCTGCTGCTGCTGCTGGCCATCATCGTCACGGTCGCCATCTTCCTTCTCACCCTCACCGCCCTCCTGCTGCTCCTCGTCCTCCCCGTCCTCCTCCTCCTCCTGAACCTCGTCCTCCTCCTCCTCCTCCCTCCTCCTCCTCCTCCTCCTCCTCCTCCTCTTCCTCCTCCTCCTCTTCTCCTCCTCCTCCTCCTCCTACTCATCACCACCACCACCACTACCACCACCGCCATCACCATTACCATCACCATCACCATCACCATCACAATGAGAATGATGATGAGAACGATGATGATGATGATGATGATGATGGTGATGATGATGATGATGATGATGATGGTGATGCTGATGGTGATGATGATCATCATCATCACCAGCAGCAGCATCAGCATCAGCATCAGCATCATCATCGGCATCATAATCATAATCAGAATCACCATCCATCATAAGCATCAGCATCATCATCATCAGCATCATCAGCAGCATCGTCATCATCATCATCATCATCATCATCGTCATCATCATCATCATCATCATCATCATCATCATCATCATCATCATCATCATCACCATCATCATCATCATCATCATCATCATCATCATCATCAAAATCATCATCGTCATCGTCGTCGTCGTCGTCATCAGGCGCGCGATCAAGCGACTGCGCGCCGCAGGCTCGGCGCGCGTCGAGCGCCCAGCGCACGCGCGCGACGCGCGCGGTCCACGAGCCTCGCAGGCGACAGCCCCGCGCCCAGCGCGAAATTCGGGCGCGGCGCGCGCGCGTATCGCCGCGAGCGCTCTGCGCCCGACCTTGCTGCAGGGGTGGCCCAGGGTAACGAAGGCGGAAAATCCGCCCCCATAAGGACCACCCCGACAAGCGAAGCCGTTTGGTAAGCGCACCCAGGGCAGGGCTGTTCAGTAAACGCCCAGGCAGTTCAGTAAACGCCGATTGTCGGGGTCTGGGTGTCTTTTCCTCCCTTGACGCGATGCCTGACCGCTTGCGGCATTCAGCCTGGAGCGCCCGCGCTAAAAGGTCGCCGCCGCGCCGCCACGGCACGAACCTGCCGTGCGGCGGCCAGCCCCTCGCCCGCGAGCCGCTCCGTTGTGCCGCAAGCACTTCGTTCGCCACGACGGCGCGGTGGCGCGCGCGCGCGCGCCGCGCCGGCTCGGTCGGGCGTGCCCGGCCTGATGGGCCTGATTTCCACCACCACCACCAGAAGTTGGAGGGGGGAAGGAGGTGGAGGCTGAGGAGGAGGGGGAGGAGGAGGAAGACGAAGGGGAGGAGGACCCCCCCCTCCCCCCTCTCGCCTGTGGTGGCCGTGGTGGAAAATTCGCCCACCCCGGCCCGCCCTCTCGCCGCCCGGCGCGCCCGCCCTCGCTCCCTGCCTCGCTGCCGGCGAGGCCCCGCTCCGGCCCGGCCCCGGCGGCTGCACTCCGGCGGCCCGGTCTGCGCAGCCACCGTGTGCACCCTGCCCCTGCAGGTCGGACCTCTGCAGAACCCAGGTTACCTCGGGCGTGTGCCACTCCAAGAGGATTTTCGCGAGCAAGCAAGAGCCATGCGTCCTGAAGGGCCTGTCGGCATAATCGAAGCTGCGCCATTGGCAACCGAGTGAGATAAGGAAAGCACAAGTGCGTCGAACAACTGCAACGATGGGAAGAGGAAGAGAGAGAGAGAGAGGAGGAGGGGACACAACAACCGGCAAAGAAAACAGGATGGCTGATCACAGCTACTGCGTCATCTGGTACACTTCAGATGCCCATTGCTGCCGGGGCCGACCGCGACGACGACGAACTGCCCCAGGGGAATTTTCGACAAAACCTAAAAATGGCCCCAAACATGCTCCAACATGGCCAAAAGCTACTCCGAAGTAAAAAGTCCCCAGACCATTTTTGGACTACTTCTGAACATTCCTCCTGTAGAGGGACGGGCCCGACTGAAACCTAGCTTTAAGTCGGGCCTGTCCCCCTACAGGGGGATCTTCGACGAAAACTTGTAAATACCCCAAGCATAATCAAAACATACTCCAAAAACAGTCTGGAGACTCTTTGTGGACCATTTTTGGACCTGTTTGTTGGGGGTATTTTGGGGGTATGTTTTATTTTTCGTCGAAAATCCCGGGGTACCTTTTATTTCTCGTCGAAAATCCCCCTGTAGGGGACACGCCCGACGGCAGCCCAGCTTCGCGCCTCGCGCCCCCGCGGTGCGCGGTGCGCGGCGCGCGGCGTGCGGCGCGCGGAGCTGCTCGCGCCCCCGCGCCCTTGCGCCGCCCCCCTGGAGAGAGGGGCGGCTCTGCAGCCCTCGGGCTGCGAGGCGAAGGACTACCTACCAGACCACCCCAGCCCAACCCGAAGACCCGAACTTCGGGTTGGGGGGGGTATGGGCTCCATACGTGTTTTGTTCGATGCTCCCGGACCCCCCCCCCTCCACTAGAAATCGAGGGTAAATCTGAGCCTTCGGGTTGGGTTGGGGTGGTTTGGTGGGCGGTGAGAAAGGGGGGGATAGCAAAAGGGGGGGTTGAGAATCAGCTCACGCAGCTGATTTTCCCGACGCCTCCCGGCGCCCGAGGCGGCTATGTATCGAGGAACGGGCCCCTCGGCGAGGCCGAAACCAGCTGCATGCAGCAAATTTCGTACCCCCCCCTTTCCCAATGCCCCCCTTTCGCCCGGCCCGAAACCCGAGCTGCGATGCGCGAAGCGCCGGCCGGGGCTGAGAACTCGAACGACGTCCGACACCTTGCGTTGTGTCGCTCCCATCGCACTGAAGGACCACATCCCAGAAGTAATCTCGAGCGCCTGGAAAAGTGTCGACAGAGTGTCGAAGGAGTGTCGAAACAGTGTCGGACGAGTATCTCCCAGGGCCCGACACGCGAAAACCCTCGAGTTTCGGTACTTTTTGCTTCGTGCTCGAAATTATTTCTGGTGATCAAGGCTAAAGCAGGTTGGAACATCATAGGCCTTGAGCAGAAACCAACCGTCCCGGCACTCCTGCGGGCCTACCACGACATGCTCGTAAGGACACAAGAGCGCCCTAAGAACAAGAGTGGTGCTCTTAGAAAAGAACGCCGACGATGCAAAACAAGACGGCCGCAGCCAGACATGTTCTCAGAGCATGCCGCGCAAAGCACAAAAAGCTCTTGGAACGTGGTCTGGTGGGCCAATCGGCAAAGTCAGCGTTTTCTTACTCAGCGTTTCGACATTGGGCGGAAGGGGGAGAGGGGGGGGGCCTGGCTCCGGACCTCTGCTCAATGCGGCTGTTTGCAACAGGGCGTCCATGACGGGGGAGGCTCCACCTGCTCGAAACAGGCGCCAAAAAAACAGCCAAGATCCACCCCATGGGGGGAGGGGGCGGTGGGGGGGCGAGGGCCCGCGCCGATCGGCAAAACACAATTTATAGGGGGCCACATGCGAACCCTACCCCTACCCCCCACGATTTTGGAGGGAAGGGTGGGGCTCACTCCGCTCGGGAGCTCCCGAACGAAGTGAACCCCACCCTCATCCTCAGAAATCGTGGGGGGGTAGAGGTAGGATTCGCATGTGGCCCCCTAAATTACTAAAAATGTTATTGCTATATATATATACATACATACATACATACATACATACATACATACATACATACACATAATAAGAATAATAATAATAATAATAATAATAATAAAAATAATAGCAATAATAATAATTAAAAGCAATAATAATAATAACAATAACAATAACAACAATAAAGAAAAACAAAAAAGACAAACCCAACAAAAAAAACATAATAATAATAATAATAACAAAAAATACCAACCAGGACGCTTCGCCACTGCTCGAGCACCCCCGCGCCGGCTGGGCCCGCAGGGCCAGGGCCCACGAGACCAGTCGCTGGCCGGTCCCGGCCTCCCCCGGGCGGGCCAGCCCGGCTCTGCTCGGCCGGGCCCGCCGCGGTGCCGCGCCTCCCTCCGCGCCGCACCCGGCGCGCGGCAGGTGCGACTGCCCGCTGGGCTTCGGTCGCGCGTGTCCTTCTACAGGCGGACTTTGATCGAGCAACGAAACAGATTCAAAAACAGATTCCCGAAACATTCAAAAGTACCTTGAAAATTGTCCCCAGGGTCCCCAGACTACTTTTCGATCGGTTTAGGATGTTCCTCCTGAAGAGGGACAGGCCCGACTTAACGCTAGGATGGACGCACCTGGGCGCCGCCGCCAGCTGTTCGTTCGGCGGCGAGCGAGGGGGGGAACTGAGGAGGAAAAGAAATCTTCTCGGAAGGCGGCGGGGCTCCTCGGAAGGAAGGCATCTGGCCTGCTGAGGAACAAGTGCCGCGTCGTCGCGGCAGGCTTGGAGAGCTTCTCGGAAGGAAGGGGGACTTCGTCCGAGCCTCCTGAGAAGGCCTTCTCCCTCTCACTTCCCCCCCCGGGGCTCGCCGCCGAGTCGTGGCCGGGGCCGTGGCAGGGAGGTTCGACTGCTCCGAAAGCAGGCGAACCCAACCAGAAGGCCCGCCTGCTCTGAGACCCGACGAGGCGGGTCCTACGCCCCAAGGCCAACACCTTTCTGGGATGAGGGGAAGCGAAGCGGCGCGGCCGCGGAGCCTCGAGGCATCACGGCTGCCACCTTCGGCGCGAGCACGCTCCCGGGCCGAAAGGGGGCCTCGCCAAGCAGCCGCAGCCCCCCCGGGCAACCGAGATCGTCGACGACCTCGACGGTGAGAGTGCAGGGGCGAGGCGGGCGCCCGTGCCGATACGGCAGGTACCTACGATCAGAAACCTCAGGGTAAGAAGCCCAAGCTTGGAGGTCGCTTGGGGGGCAGCGTTGTCCCCAAGGCCAGATCCCAATACGCTCAGCGAGCGCGCCTGACCCGTCAATAACAATCCTTACGACACCCATTCGCGACAAGTTCGGACCGTTAGGTTTGCTCTTACCGACGATTGGGTTGCTCAGGTGTGCCCTTACCCTACGAGCACTACCTCCCCCTCCGTCGCCCCAGCCACACAGGTCGCGTTCGCTGCCCCTCAGCGAGCTGAAAGCCCAGGCACGCATGCAGTCGACAGCCGCGTGAGGTGCCACAATTGGGGCCCCGCGGGAGGCCCACGGGGCCATCGGGGCGTAAGAGGAACGTCCGTGGGGCACCTGCCGGCGTGCCCGCTTTCTTCTTCGACGAGCGCGCGCCGTGCAGGACGTGCCTCGGGGAGGTGAGGCGAGCGACGCGCTTCCAGGGCTGCTGCTCGTCCTCTCCGTCCTCCTCCTCCTCCTCCTCCTCCTCCTCCTCCTCCTCCTCCTCCTCAACCTCGTCCTCCTCCTCCTCCGCCTCCTCCTCCTCCTCCTCCTCCTCCTCCTCCTGCTCCTCCTCCTCCTCCTGAGGTGAGCGACGCGCTTCAAGGGCGGCATGGAGGCCCAGGTGGGCGACGAGATCAGCAGGAGGGTCCGTCCCAGCTTGTCATGCCCCTACGCCCTCCGGCAGACTCACGTTCGGTCGACGTCTGCGCTGGCTCTGACACTGCGAACACTGTTAACCCTGAACGTTCGCGCATCGGTCGACATCGTATGATCATTGGCCACTGGCAGCGTTTAACCTTGAACGCCCGCGCTGAGGCGCCGCGTCAGGCTACAAGAGCGTGTCGCAGAGGAACTGACAGGGTCGACCAATTCGAGGCTGACAAGCGGGGCAGGTGCGCGTTCAGGCCAACATGGGAGTTCAACTGGCCGCCGCGCCCCTCAGAAAGCTGGAGCATTCGATTGTCTCGCAAAGAACAAGGGATGCGAGGCGCGCGCCCATGACAGCACCGGGTGTCACCCAGCCGCGATGCCTCCAAGAGAACTGCAGCAGCTTCGACGACGAGGGGAGATCGAGATTGGAGGTACGATTACACCAGTCTGCGCTTGAGGAGCCTGCACCCCCACAGGGACTGGCAACCCTGAGCCCATGGAGCGGCGTGGGGCCCACGGCTCGAAAAAAACACCGTCCACTGCGGCTCGGAACTCTCTTCCCGCGACGCCGGCGATCGCACTGCGAGATCGAAGCCTCCGCGGGGTCGCTGCAATGCGAACCCAACAGAAGAGAGCGGGAAGCGAGAGGCAGGGCTGAACCTACACGGTGTTTTTCGTTTTCGCCTTGTGTTCGTTTCCCCTCGTTTTGTCTTCAATCCGCCTTTACCGCAAAACAACATCGAAACGAAAACGGCCCACGAAATCGCCCAAACGCCGTTTAGGTCCAGCCCTGGCGAGAGGGGAGAGGCCGCTGAGGGGTGGTGGGGGGAGATAAGGTGTTACTGCGGCCCGTTGGTTGTTACTGCGGCCCGGTGGGTGTTAGTATGGCCAGGGGTCCTCCGGAGTGTATTAATTATCGAATACGGTGAAGGGGGGGGGGGGGGGGGGGGCCAAAAAGGCTCCGCCCCCCCCCCCCCCCCTTCACCGAAGAGCCTCTCGGAAGAGCCTCTGGTGCTCTCCGAAAAGCCTCTTGGAGCCGCCGAAGACCTTCTTGCAGTCGCATAAGAGACTCTTGGGCTCTCCGAAGAGCTTCGTGGGGCCTCCGAAGAGCTTCTTGGGGCATCCGAAGCGCTTCCTGGGCTCTCCGAAGAGCGTCTGGGCTCTCCTACTACGACTACGACTACGACTACTACCACTACTACTACTACTACTACTACTACTACTACTACTACTACTACTACTACTACTACTACTACTACTACTACTACTACTACTACTACTACTACTACTACTACTACTACTACTACTACTACTACTACTACTACTACTAATACTATACTACTACTACTGTACTACTTACTACTACTACTACTACTACTACTACTACTACTACTACTACTACCACACTACAGCACTACTACCACCATACCAGTACCACAACACCGCTACCACAACACCACTACACCGCTACCACAATACCACAAGCACAACACCGCTACCACAACACCACTACCACAGCACCACTGCCACTACCACAACACTACTACCTACTAACAACTCAACAACACTACCAACACCACACCACTAACACAACACTACCAACACCACACCACTAACACAGCACACCACTAACAACACCACACCACTAACACAGCAGACAGCACAACCAGCCACTACCAACACCACACCACTAACACAACATTACCAACACCACACCACTAACACAGCACAGCGACCACCACACCACTAACACAGCACTACTACCACGTTGGTTCCAGGTGGGAGTCACTGTGGCCACTTTTGCCTGCGCGGGAGTGCATTCCCTTAAGGGTTGCGAATCTCTCCAGATCTAACATGAGATACCTTTACATATTACTTTTCATTGAGCGGCCTGCGCGGGCCACAGTAACTCCCATCCCGCCGCGCGACGGGCCACACTAACACCCAACGGGCCACACTAACACCCAACGGGCCACAGTAACAACCGGTCGCGTGGTGGGGGGGGGGGGAGGGGGGCGCACTCGGGCCGTGCAGGCCTGCGTGCACCGCACACCGAGGCGCTGACAGCAGCGAACGGCTCCAGCTGCACCCGCCCAGAAGACAATTTCAACAAATAGTGACAAATATGCTTAATGCACCAAGTTTGACATTTTTGTGATCACCCAGGTAGAACCGTATAGATGATTTAGTTGTCCTCTTTAATGGTTTTACTCTTATAAGAATCTGAATGTTTAAGTTTCCCCGTTCATCATTGATCAATCCAAAAATTCGTTGACAATTGTCACAATAGTCTCCCGCCCCATGCCCCCGCTCGGCTGCGCGCCGGGCGCGCGGCGGAGCCTTGGTCTGCCTTGGCCCGGCCACCGGCCACCTTAGGAGACACGCTTTCTTCCACGGGCCCCGGGCGATTGGCACCGCGGCGCGAGGCGGCGGACTGCTGGGCAGGCCGGGAGCTCCACACGGAGTGCCGCCAGCAGGGAGCACGGCGCTGGAGGAGGGAGAGACAAGCAGGAGGAGTAGAGAAAGAGAGACAGAGAGAGACAGAAAGAGAGAGAGAGAGAGCGAGAGAGAGCAAGGAGATGCGAGGAACGCAAGAAGCAGAAGGCGCCGGCCGCCATCCGACCGCCGCCCGTCGTCTGGGCCTGGGTGGCGGTCTGGCGGTTCCGTGCTCGTCGTCGCCGCCCGTCGTCGCCATCACCGCCCCGCCCCGCCGCCTCGCATAGATTGCACGACGTAAACTCTCTCCCCCCCCCCACACACACACACCCTGATCCCCCCCGCAGATCGTACCATCCTAACCCAACCGGTATCTCCCCTCCCCACCCCGAGCATCCTCTGCAAAAGCACTATGCGCGCACACGCGTTTATCACAAATCATCAAGTTTCAAGAACCCCTCGCGAGAAATGAGACAGAATTCACACGCACGCGCATACCGAAACATGTTCAACAAAACCGTTAGTTTCGGAAGGGTTTCAAAATCGAACGTGCCGAAAGCATGTGGAAAATGTATGGTTGGGCAACATCAGTTTTCAACACACAAACAATCGGCGCGCGCCTTTGCGAATTTTTTCGGAAACTGATTGTTCAACCTGTTCATCAAACTCGACCAAACGCGCGTTTCGCGCGCGCATGTCAGCATCATTCGAACGCAATTGCGCGCGGGCTGGGGTGGGCACGATCTCTGTCCAATAATACCATGCGGGCCACTGGCGCCCGTCGGCCGCGCGCGCAAGTCAAAATCCTTCCAAAACCTTCATCACCAACGCGTGGACGCCATCATCACCACCGGCATGATCAGCATCGGCGCCGCCATTTGCTTTGCAGTCGTCATCGTAATCATCGTCACTAGCATCGCTGCAATCAGCATCGTGTCTGTCGTTGCCGACGTCGCCATGATACCGCGCCCGCCCGAGTCACCAACTCGCACTGACAGGCCCGCGCGTCCGCGCGGCCTGCGAGACGCACTGGGAGATCCCCTGCGGTCAGCGCCACCGCGGCCGCTTCGGTCGCGCCAGACTAGCTGGCCGCTCTGCGCGCGAGCCTGCACGCGCTGGCGCGGCCAGCGCCAGGCAGGCTTCACAATTGCTGCTTCGGGGGTTTTGCAAACCAAGTCGCGCATGGGCGGGCGGGATGACTGCATGGGCAGTGGAGTTGACAACTCACCGAGAACAATTAATTCTCCTTTCAAAGAAGAGAATAGTTTCCACCAACCCGAGTCAACAGTTTCTTGACGGTCCACGACGGGTCTGGTGAGAACTCCAGGAAGCCGAGAATGGCCAAAGCCTTCGGCCATGAACTTTTCTCGACCCCGGGACCTGCCCTGGGATACGTTCTGACGGGGATTCCAACGCGGATCCAGCCGTGACCACGAGAAGTTTGCCAGATGCCGCGCCCAAAGACCCCCCCAACTTCTCACATCGAGAAGAGTGGGCCGTGTTCGGCCTCCGTTCAAAGATGGTCGTTGAGTCACAGCCACCAGTGCAGTGCCCCTTCGGACAAGGACCCCCGGGGCACCACATCGCAGGAAGCGGGGAACCCCTGGCAAATCCTGAACACTGGGGCGCAAGCCAGGCTGCACAAATCGACGGCATCATCCTCCTGTCTAAGATTCGGCTACACTCTGGAGCGAACTTAGGCATGAGTGACCCTTTTGGTGCGCCACCCCGACGTCGTCCGAGACCCTCCAAAAGTCCTGGGATTGAAAAGCAGACCGCCACTGGCAATGTAAACATTCCGGTCTCCGATTAAGACTGCACAAGTCGACGGCATTATCCTCCTGTCGAAGATTTGGCTACACTCTAGAGCGAACTTAGGCAGGAGTGACCCTTTTGGTGCGCCACCCCGACGTCGTCCGAGACCCTCCAAAAGTCCTGGGATTGAAAAGCAGACCGCCACTGGCAATGTAAACATTCTGGTCTCCGATGAAGGCTACACAAGTCGACGGCACCATCCTCCTGTCTAAGATCCTGCTGCACTCCAGAGTTAACATAGGCAGGAGTGACCCTTTTGGAGCGCCACCCCGACGTCGTCCACGACCCTCAAAAAGTACTGGGATTGGAAAACGGCCCGCCACTGGTAGTGTACACGCTCCAAGCTCCGACGAAGATTGCACAAATCGACGGCATCATCCTCCTGTCGAAGATCCTGCAACACTCTAGAGCGAACTTAGGCAGGAGTGACCCTTTTCGAGCGCCACCCCGACGTCGTCCCCGACCCTCCAAAAGTACTGGGATTGAAAAACAGCAAGCTCCGATAGATACTGCACAAATCGACGGCATTATCCTCCTGTCGAAGATCCTGCTACACTCCAAAGGGAACCTATAGGCAAGAGCGGCCCCGTTGGTGCGCGGCCTACGGGGGGGGGCCACAGTGGGCACACCACCAGGCGCGCATAAGCGGCTGTTACCGCATCGCACTCGGCCATCGGGGGGCCCCATTGGGCCCGCACCAAAGAGGTCACTCTGGTGGAAGGTCACTCTTACGTGTAGGAGGCTCAGCCAGCGAGCTCACAAGCCTGGGGTAGGCGAGTCCCGGGCAGCCAGCAGCTCCTTTTCGTCACGAGTGCTCGAATCGAGCTTGCAGCGGTGCAATTGAACACATAATTGGGCCTGCACCAAAGGTCACTCCGGCGAAAAGCCACTCTTACACGTCGGTCGGAAGAAGGAGGTAAAAGAATTAAGCAGGACGGCGGATCAAGTCGATTGGGTGCAGGCCCGCCCACATGATAACAAAACGCAGCAAAAGCACATCGATTCTTGACGTAGGAAGGCGCTCGAAATAGGTGGGGATCAGGGGATCCGAAAATACATATTTCAACGACCGACGCGTACGTGCCATCGGGGACCACATTGGGCCCGCACCAAAGGTCACTCCGGCGAAAGGCCACTCTTACGCGTAGCCGAAAAATGCCGGAGTCGTCCAATCCGCGGGCAGAAGCCACGCTGGCCCCTCAAGCAGCTGGAGAGCGCCTCGCTCCTGCACTGCAGGTGGCCGGCACCCAGGGGGAGGAGGAGCGACGGAAGGGGGCGACACAAGAGGAGTAGGCCTCACACACTGGAAATATTCATCGTAGAAAATGAAACTGCAATCGGAATGTGCAAATAACGAAGGAAATTGCTTCAAATAATTGCAACCTTCAAAGCGACGCTCATGCGGACTCAGACTTAGATTTGCATTCCTTACAGATGCATGAAACTGACAAGTACCAGCAGGGAAGGGGCGGAAGGGACGAGAAGGGGGGCCGTCGGCACCGCGCCCCTCCCCCCCCCCGCAAAGGGGGGGAACGAGGGAGCGCCTCCCCCGTCCCGTGCTGCGGGGGCCCCAGATGTGCGCAGAGGGGGCACTCGCCATGTCTCATCCTCCTCGCAGACCCGACTGGAGAGCAGGAAGAAAGGCACCGCTGTAAGAAACACCCAGACGAGCGAGGCCGTTCAGTAAGCGTGCCCAAGGAGGAAATCGAATATGACAGGGCTGTTCAGTAAACGCACGGGGCCGTCTGGCAAACGCCAATTGTGAGCGTCTGGGCGGCTCTTCTTCGCCTGACCCTATGACCCACCTCCGTGCGATTCCGTTCCACAACGCCTTCCCCAATGCAGAGAAGGAAATGGGAGCGGAGGAAGCGTCGAGATGAGAGCGGAGAGGGGGCAGACTCGTTTCACGTTGCGCGGACTTCTGCTGTGCGATGGCTCGTACACGACACATCGTAAGGCGTGGCGCATCCATCCTTCAGCGGCTCGCCGCGGGCGGGCCGTGCCTCGGCATGCTCAGCAGCAGCGTGGGCCCGCGGGCGGCAGAGGGAAGCGGCGGAGGCGGTCGGAAGCGGGCGCGCGGCCGCTGGCACCCGTGGCGTGGACCACGGGCGCGACGTCCTGGGGACGGCCCCGCTCAAAAAGCCGTGGATGTGTGGCGGAGGGGGCCCTTTTGAAGGACTGCAGGGCCCCAGAACGCCGAGAAAGACTTTTATCCCCAGACGGCGACGACGACGACGCCGACGACGCCGACGACGCCGAAGATCACGGCGACAACAACGACGACGACCGCGACGACGACGTCGACGGCGTGGTCGTCTGGGCCGGCCGCCACGCCGCGGCCCGCCCACTCGAAGCAGCTGCCCTCGCGGGAGTAGCCCGCGAAGCAGACGGCGCCCATGGCCGGCGCCCTCGGCAGCGGCGGCGGCGACGGCGGTGCCATCGGCGGCCATCGGCGTCCTTTCGACGGCCAGCCGCGGTCTCGGGCAGCGGCCCGGGCAGCGGCCCAGCCGACGGCGATGGCGGCGACGACGGCCACCACAAAGGCAGCACCCACCACGGCGGCGGCGACGACGATCGCGACCACGACGGCGACGGCGACGGCCACCACGACCACGTCAACAGCGGCGACGAAAGACGACGGCTTCGACGGCGAGGGGAGGCTGGGGGAGCAAAAAAGCACCGATACCGCTGCTCCCTGGACCTCTCCCGGGGTTCGTTTTGACTAGAATCTCGCGGAGAATCCAGCCGTGGCGACGGTAGAGGTTTCCAGATGGGGTCAGCGTAGATTTGGTCGGAGGATCGCGCCGCATCGTCGACGCATCACAGAAATCTAGGGCAATGCCCCGGCGACATCGCAGATGCTTCGGCAACTTCGGTGAAGAACATCGGAATCCGTATCGAGCCGCATCGCCGATGCATCGGCGATGCGTCGCGCTCTTCCGCCCCTCTACTCGGACACCCATTTTCGGGGCTGGTCAAGAGGGGGGGTCCATGGCGGCATGTGCGCGGCCCAAGGGGGGGCCAGGGACACATTGAAATAAGAAGAGGCGCCATGAAATCTGGGGAGATAGCATGGACCTCGCCATGATATCCACCCCACCCTAGTCATCACCCCCCCTC